AGGGTAGCGTCAGGGCCTGTCTTGCTCCCCAGAGAATTTTTTGGCCATCTTGTGTCTATGCAGCCTCAAGCAAATTGTTTTACCTCCTGGATCCTCAGTTTCCACATTTGTCAGAAGAGGTTCTTAATACCTTCGTCGGCCAGGCATAGTGGCTCATGACTGTAATCCCAGCATTTTGGGAGGCCGAGGCAGGCAGATCACTTGAGGTCAGGAGTTCAAGACCAGCCTGACTGACATGGTGAAACCCTGTCTCTACTAAAAATACAAAAATTAGCCGGGCACAGTGGCAGGTACCTGTAATTCCAGCTACTCAGGATACTGAGACAGGAGAATTGCTTGAACCCAAGAGGTGGAGGTTACAGTGAGCCAAGATTGTGCCATTGCACTCCAGCCTGAGTGACAAAGCGAGACTCTGTCTTAAAAATAAGTAGATAAATTTTTAAAAATAAAATAAAAATACCTGCCTCCCTGGGCCAATGTGAGTATTAGTGACCACACATGGGGCTGGTGCACAGGGCCCCTTCACAGACAGCGCCTGTTCTAGATGATGACATGTGTGGGAAGGGAGGTGGGGTCTCCCCTAGCTCCGTGGGACCTGCCGCCTGGTGCTGCTGAAGGAGAGCTGAGCCAGGAAGAGTCCCCCATTCAGCGCCAGTTACCCATCCCTGACCCTGACAGCCTGCCCAGAGCCCACCTCCAGAAGCCCCTCCTAACGTCTTTTTCTCTGGTCTCTGCAATCTTTTCTTTCCTTTTTTTTAATTTATTTTTTTTGAGACAGAGTCTCAGTCTCACCCAGGCTGGAATGCAGTGGCACCCTCTGCCTCCAGGGTCCAAGTGATTCTCCTGCCTCAGCCTCCCCAGTAGCTGGCACTACGGGCACACGCCACCGCACCCAGCTAATTTTTGTATTTTTATTAGAGACGGGGTTTCACTATGTTGCTCAGCCTGGTCTCAAACTCCTGCCCATCCAGCCTGGAATTACCATATGATCCAGCCATTCCACTTCTGGGTCTATACCAGAAAGAACTGAAAGAAGGAACTCACACAAATATGCACACCCATGCTCGTATCAGCGTTATTCACAATAGCTAAGAAGCAGAAGCAACCCAGTGTCCATCGGAGGATGAATGGATAAACAAAACGGGGTCATCCATGCAAGGGAATCGTGTCCAGGGGAGAGCATTCTGACACAGGCTACGACATGGCTGAGCCTTGCAGACGCCGCTAGGTGAGGTGAGCCAGACACAAAGACAAATACCATATGATTCCATTCATAGGCGGAACCTGGCGGGGCCAGATTCACAGAAACAGAAAGTAGAGTGGTGGCGGCCGGGGCTGGGGAGGAGGATGTGGAGCGCTGCTGTGTCATGAGAACAGAGTATCAGTTTTGCAAGATGCAAAAAGTTCTCGAGGTGGACGCTAATGATGGTTGCACAACAATGTGAATGTCCTTAATGCCACAAAACGGGGCATTTAAACATGGTTAAGATGGGCGGGGCGTGGTGGCTCACGCCTGTAATCCCAGCACTTTGGGAGGCCAACGCAGGCGGGTGACTTGAGGTCAGGAGTTTGAGAGCAGCCTGACCTACATGGTGAAACCCCATCTCTACTAAAAATATAAAAATTAGCCAGGAATGCTGGCAGGCATTAATCCCAGCTACTCAGGAGGCTGAGACAACGAGAGTCGCTTGAACCTGGGTGGAGGGGTGGAGGCTGCAGTGAGCTGAGACCCATTGGGATCTCAGTCCTTAGCCTGGGGTGCCCCTGCCCCACCCTCTTGCCCAGGGCCTGGGTTCAGCAGGGCTGCCTAGGTTCCCCTCCTGCCCACCCACCCTGGAGCCTGAACCCGACCCACGAGCCCCCCTCTGCTTCACGTAGCCTACCTGCCATGGAGACAGAGCAGCTGTCCAGCTCCTGGAGAAACACTGCTTGGCTGTGGCTGGGCTTCAGCTGCCACCCAAGGGGACCCTGCCTGCCAGGAGGGGTGGTCACCACCCGGCACCGCGGCTCAGCCCTCTGGTGCTCACGCAGGCGGTGGCCTCTCAGCAGGACTGTCCTTGCCTCCCCGATTGCCCTTCGCCCGCGTCCCGAGGTGGTGGTCTTCCCACTGGAGCTGGAGACCTGGTCTCCGAAGGTGAGATTCGGGCTCTGGGGCACACAGAGGGCCTTCTCCAGCCCACTCTTAGGCTGTGCTGTCAGGCTGTGTGGGAGGAGGGCAGGTGGGAAGGTTCTGACGTGGCTGCATCCCCCTCCCTCCTCGTCCTCCCTCTTCAGGTCTGTCCCTTCCCCAGCTAAAAGCCCCCCAGCCATTCCTGATCAATGGGCCCAGGCGTGGCAGGGGTGAGGCGGTAGGAGGGTGGTTCTTGAGGACGGCTGGGCGTCGGCAGGAGCCCAGGCCTGGCTGACTGGAGGGGCTGGGGCCGACAGGGCCCAGGGAGTTGGGAGGCAGAGTGGCAGCAGCAGATCCCGGGCTGAATGGCGGAGGAGGTGCCCTCCCACCAAGACCCAGACCCCCTGACCTGAGGCTGGCCCCAGCTGGCCGGCAGCTGTGCAGCTGTCAGGGGCAGTGTGAGCAGGAAACGCCAGGGGGCAGCAGCGAGTGTGTTCAGCACAGAGCCCCAGACTGAATGGCAGGAAGCCCAGGTCCTGTGAGATGCTGACCCTCGTGCACAGACACACGGATGAACTCAAGGAGCTGTGCAACGCTGGCAGGCCCCTCCAGCCTCCAGCCTCCACCCTCGGTCTCTCTAGGTGACCTAAGCACATAATCCCTTCTGCCTGTGATGCTCTAGCCCAGCCTGGAGGGCAGTAAGCCCAACCTGCCTGGAGCTGGGGGTGGTGCCCTGACTGATGGTGCCCATGTAGTCCCCATCTGGGGATGAGTGGAAACAGTGAGCCTGGTCCAGGTGAGAAGCGGGTGTCTGCTCTGCCTGTGGGTCTGTCTGTTCTCTCTGGCCTGGCCGGGCACCCTCTTCGGGCTGTCTGAGGCCTGTGCTGAGCACTCAGGGGATTCAGGGGACACACGGATCACTCTGCGGGGAGGCAGAACAGGCAGGTCCCCCTGAGTTGCAGCCAGTCCCTAGGTTGAGAGTGCTCTTTGGCCTTTTGACTCTTAGTGAACAGCCCAGAGGGAGTCGTCTGGCTGGAGCACCCCACACCTCCTCCAGAATCCTGCCTTGGGAATGCTGGGTTGGCAGTGGCCTTGATTCCTAAGAGGGGGTGTGGAGGGCTGTGGGGGTGGCGGGGCTGTTTCTCCCTCAGCGCTACTTTCTGGGGGCTCCTCCCTGCAGCTCAGGGATGGCTGTGGCTCAGTTCCTGTGTCCCAGATCTCAGCCTGCAGAGCTGGATGGGACCCCACATGAAGAGGCTGGGCTGGCTCTGGGGGCACGGAAAGGAAGGAGGGCTGGCTCCTGGCCCAACCCCGTGCCCAGCTGTGTCGGGGAAGGCTGCCAGCAAGCAGCTCTGGAATTGCTGCCAGGCAAGCTGGGGGTGGTCTGTGTGAGATGGAGGGTCCGGGAGCCCCTTGGGGGTAAACAACAAGGCGTGGTCATGCTGCCCTGGCCACAGCATGGTGGGTGGGAAGTGGGGAGATGATGGAGGGAGTTGGGGATCCATTCCATTACTGGTGGCTCCCATTCACCGAGACACCCAGTGGAGGGCCAGGCTGGGGTTGTCGTGGCCCTGGTATGTGAGTGTGTGCAATTTTGATCTGTGTGATGGAAAATACCCCCCCACGCACACACATGAGCACACTGACACGTTAATCCACATGCGCGCAGACACGCAAATGAACTCAGAGGCTGCTGACTCGCCACGCGGGTGAGCACACGCACAGCTTCTGTGCACACGGACCCAGCACACGCACACGCCACGCACAGGCACACCTCCCTGCTCACCCCTCCCCAGCTGGCCCGCCCTGCCTGCCCCAGGCGCCTACTGGCCCCCTGCCCCCTCATCCATCTTGCCTGCCAGCCGCTCCCTGGTGCCCTCATATCCTTCACACCTTCTCATCTCACTGCTCAATACCAGGAGGCAGCGTGGCAGCCGTGGCTGCAAGGAAATTGATGGACCAGGCGGGGGTGTAGAGGGCTGGGGAGTGGCACCGGGAGGGGACTCTGGGCTTCAGCAGTCCCAGCTGTCCAGCAAGAGCCCATTAGACTCAGGCAGCTGTGGGCAATGAGGCTGCAGCCAGGTCACATGTAGCCCTGCCTATATGTCCTGCCATGACACCTCAAAGGGTGCCAGCATCAGGACAGAGGGGCACTCAGCAGCAGGCCTCGTGCTGGCTCACCTGACACCAGTGTGCGGTGTCCTGGGGATGGTGGAAGTCGTGGCTCCCCAGTTAGAGCTGGGAAGTCCCTCCGCCTCAACCCAAACCACCTCTTCCCTGCGTCTCTACAACTGGACAGGCTGATCTGCGTGGGGACAGCCTTGTCCCGCTGTGACCCTTCCCACAGCCCTGACTCCCCGCTTGAGACACCACGGGCACTGGGCTCATTACACACTTAGAAATGCACATCTGGCCACAGAAAGATCCCTTCAGAACGCTCAAGCTACTGGGGCTCTTGGAAACACATATGTGTGGGAAATGCACAGACATGCACGCCAGAGAGCACACAGGGCAGGGGCACACAGCCATGCATGGACAAACACACATGTGCACAGACAGAGGCACAGCTCTGCTCTCCCCACACTCGGCCTCTGACCCCAGGATTGTAGGAGGGTTGGGGGCCCCCTCTGGGTTGTGGCCTCCTCTGGAAGCCCCTCTGCTGGCTCCAGAGTAATCCTCCTCCAGGCTGTCCTCCTACACTCTGGGATCCTCCCCCAGGCATGGATGGACAGCTGTGGGCACAGAGGCAGCCCCACTGGCCCCAAGACATTTGTATGTCCACGGCTGTACTGGCCAGACCTGCCCAGGTCCTGTGGCCAATCCTCCCCTCCTTCATCCACTTCCCCAACCGGAGAGGAGCCGTGAGGACAGGACACAAATCATGGACCCGTGGACATTTTCCATTTTATAGAATAGGAAACTGAGGCCAAGGGTTGGGGGACCTGGCAAGGAACGTGGTGCATGGTAGGTGACAAAAGGGGCCTCTGTGCTCGGAGCTGTGCCTCAGGACCCATTGTTCAGATGGGAAGGCTCAGGTTGGGGAGGTGTGGCTTGGGTTAGGAAGCTGGGCTAGGGGCAGGGGTCAGCGCGGGCATGGCAGGCACGGAGAATGTCAACTTTTCAGTCTGGACAAAGGCGACACCCTTCTCATAGTAGGCAGCCTCGTTAATGAACACGGGGTACACCGCGGACTCTCCTTCATAGAGCAGGTCCTCCCCACTGAACATTTGGAAGATGGGATCACCAGGCTGCAGCGGCTGGAAGTCTTGGTCCTGGGAGGAGAGCCAAAGGTCAAGGTTGCTGGGGCCACCTCTGCCCTGGCCCGAGAAGAGGACAACCCCAGATTGGCACCCAAAAGATGCCCCTTATTCATGTCCTTTGCCACCCACTCTTCCCTTCCTCAATCCATATGACAGCAGGTCTGGTGAGATACCAATCTACTCTGTGTCTAGAAATGAAGACACAAGTCACCTTGGGGAGACCTATGCCAATGTGGAAGTGGAACCTCATAGTTATGGGCACAGGTTGAAGCCAGAGTTCAAATCCTTGCTAGCTGTGTGACGGAGCAAGTCACTTAACCTCTGTTCCTTAGCTTTCTCATCTGTACAATAGGGATAACAATATCTCCTACTATCATTCTAAAGTTTAAATCAAACAGGCTAATAGTGTTTAAAGCAGTGTCTGGCACGCAGTAAGTACAATATGATACTTTATTAAACAAATTTTAAGGCCAGGCGTGGTGGCTCATGCCTGTAATCTCAGCTCTTTGGGAGGCCAAAGTGGGCAGATCACTTGAGGTCAGGAGTTCAAGACCAGCCTGGCCGACATGATGAAACCCTGTCTCTACTAAAAATACAAAAATTAGCTGGGTGTGTTGGCACATGCCTGTAATCCCAGCTACTGGGGAGCCTGAGGCAGGAGAATCACTTGAACCTGGGAGGCAGAGGTCATAGTGAGTTGAGATCACACCATTGCACTCCAGCCTGGATGATAAAGTGAGACTCTATTTCAAAAAAAAAATAATAATAATAATAATAAATAAAATAAATTCTAAAATTGTTGGAGGAGCCACCCAAATTGACTGTTATTGCTTAACATCTGCAAGTTAGCTGAGCATGGCTGGGTTAAGACCCTCTAGCCCTAAACATGGACAGCCTGGTGCTACCTCTATTTGTAAGAAGGTAACCCCTCAAAATGAAACTTCAGGGCACAAAAGGCCACAAGACTGCACCAGACCCTATTCAACAGCGACCCCGTGTGGCAGCAAGCAGAGCAGCAGCCAGTTGGTTCTTGTCAGCCACTCAAGGGACAGGTGTGGAAGCAGGATTGCCAGATCCTGGAACATTCAGAAAAGGAAGGCCTGGAGAGAGATACTTGGATGACCTGCCAACAGGCATGGGGATGCTCAAGGAATCAATTGAAAATCAGAAGAGAGTTCTGTATTTGCACCTCCAAGCAGGTGAATTGGGTCATGCCTGCTCCACAGCCCCTCCTTCTGCCTTCTACAGCCAAGGTAGGGCTGTCTCCCTCATGCTCTCTACAGGAGCTATGTGGCCTCTCGTGCTAGGCCCGAGTGTGGGGTTCCAGGGAAGGCAGCAGGGCCAGGGGAAGTGGGGTGGTGGAGCCCAGCCTCCCATCCTGCTCCTGAACCTGAGGTTCTGGTGAGCTCGTAGGAGGCTTGGCTGGGCCCTCTGGGGCTCGGTTTTCCTTGACAACCCTCCTCCCCAAGGCTGTGGCCCCAGCAATCACCCCCCCCACAAACACACACACACCTGCAGCTGAGGATGCACGGTGCCTGCCAGGTTCCCAGCCTCAGTGCGGGGGAAGTCCATGACGCCCACGGGTCTATAGGCTTCCATCTCAAAGGCCGGAAAGGTTGTGCCTGTGTGGGAGGCTGGGTGTGTGAGCCAATCCCTTCCTCCGGGATAGGGGACAGAGTGGGCCGTGGGGGGACCTCAGGGCTGGATCCCAGCCTGCATGTGAGCCTGGCTCCCCGGCCCCTGAGCCAGGCCTTCTCTTCCCGAGAGCTGTTTCCCATAAGTCCCCAGGGTCTTACCCTGGTTGAAGAGTTCGATGAAGTCCAGAACTGTGGCCACCAGGGCGCTCATCCTCGAGAAGATGTCAGCCCGCAGCACACCCTGTGGCTGGGGGCCCAGCTCCAGACCTGGGGACCAGGAAGCAAGCGGTGAGGCAGGAATAGGACCCACGAACTCCTTGGAGAGGCCCCGCCCCTTGGTGCATGGCCCCACCCCCAGCCCTCCTGGCCCCGCCCACTTCCCAAGAGGCCCCGGCCCACCCAATCCGTTTTTGGCCACGGAGTTCAGATTGTGGCTCTCCTCCCCGGACCGCTGGTACAGCAAGACCTGGCAGGACAGCTCGGGGTACTGCAGCTGGGGGCGAGAGAGGCGGGTTAGGGGCCCAGGCCTCAATGGGAGGGGAAACAGGTGGGGGGCGTGGCATGGAGGAAGCACAGGGCACCACCCTCCTTGGCCAGGTCTCCCTCTGCCCTCTGGCAGGGCAGGGGAGGGGGTGCCCGGGGCCTGGAGTGCTGGCGGGTGGCAGACCCCAGAGCCTGGAACCCAGGGGAACTCAGCCCGGGGAAGAGGGACTAATCAAAGAAGGTTCCGGCCTTGCCCCGCCCTGCGCTCCTTCCCTCTCCCCTCTGGGGGCTGTATGCTCCGCCGAGGCCACCTGCAGATGGCGGCACAGGTGCAAGGCAAAGACGTCGTGGGAGGAGTCTGCGATTAAGCAGGTGCCCATGTTGGCCGTGGTGTTGTGCAGGTCAAGGACAAAGTCAAAAGCCTGGCCCGAGGCCTTGGGCCCCAGCAGCTGGTTCAGCTCTCGGGCTCTCGTCACCTCGTATGGGTCGTCCGGGGTAGGCCTGGAACTGCGGGAACGGGAATGGGGGACGCTCACCCCCACAGCCTCAGTCAGTCTTCAGTGGTTTAAGGGGCGAGGGGCAAGGGCCCGCAGGAGCCACTCGGAGCAGCTCAAGGCTTGCCCCTCTGCCAATGTGGCTGTGCCCGCCCCTGCGCATGGCCCTCTTGGCTCTACACTTCCCGGTAAAGTCCAAGCCCTGTCTGGCCTGCCCTCCCGCCTGCCTACCCACTCACCTGCCTCTCATGCCCTCACTCCAGCCACACTGCCTGAGCACCATGCTGGTCTCGTCCCCAGGCCTGTGTTTGTGCTGGGCCCTCCACTGGAAACTCCCTCTCACCTCTCTTCCCCTGGCTAGTTTTACTCAGTCTTTGGGGCTTGGCTGAGATACCACTGCCTCCAGGAAGCCTTCCCTGACTGCTCTCGGCCAGGTTAGCTGTTTTGTGTAGCCCCCGGGCGTGCCTTTAGCCTCCTGGGTTATGGTTGCCCAGTTCTTCCTCTGTGTCCCCATTAAGCATGAAGCCAATACCTTGGTCCTCTTCCCCCTTCACTCCCCTGAGCTGGCCAGAGCCTGGTCTGAAGATGGGGCTCAGTGACTATTCTTTGGAAGGTGGCATGAACAGTGGTCGGGACACATGACAAATAAACATGGCCTGTGGGGCGAATCTGAAGGAAGCACTGGGTCTGGGATTCCCAGAGGAGGTCCTGACACAACTTGCAGTCAGGAAGGGCTTCCTGGAGGAGGTGACATCAATCTGGGTTTCTCTAAGTGTTCAGTTTGTCCCCATGGAGGAATGGGCCACACAGGTAGAGGGGAAGCAGGAGTGAATGCAGGGAGGGCCCTGCTGGTGGCTGGAGGGGAGGTGTGCGGTGGGTGCTCGCTGCCCAACTGCCTGTGCCCACCTGGTAGCAAGGGCACTCACTTGAGGAAGGTGCTGGCGAAGGTGCGGTTGAGGTCACGGTCCACGTAGCGGCGGCAGGCGGCGGTGGCTGCGGGGTTGGCCAGCACTGGCACTGCGGAGAAGCTGGGTCTCTGCAGCTCTGCCGGGGTCAGTAGCCAGTGCCGCACCAGGTAGATGCCCGACATCTCGTTGCCATGTGTGCCCCCGGCCACCGCCACGCGGCGCAGGGGTTCCCGGGGCACGGGCAGTGAGCACATGCTGGCGTGGGGCGGCACCTGGGGGTGGGCATACTTGGGAGACCCTGGCCCCGGGGCAGGGCCCCAGGCTTAGAGCGGGGATGGCGGTGGGAGGGCTGAGGAGTCCCAGCCCCGCAGGGCAGCCGCCTGCCAGGAGGTGTGGCCGGCTGGGGGTGTCTCAGCTCTGTCCCACCTGCACCCCAGTGGCCCTTTCTCTGAGGAGACAATTTTCCTGCTCCTTTGGAGAGAAGAAATTTCTTTTTCCTAAACTGAGAAGCGGGGCCCAGTTATTCGGGAAGATGGGTTCACCGAGGCACACTCCCTACGGGAAAAGGGCTCTGCTCCTTTTTATAGTCAGGGAAACTGAGGCTCAGCGTGGGGAGTGGAAAGAAGCGTCACCAGGGTTTGCTGTTGTGTGTCTGGGTTCTAGGCTGCTGCCCTTCCTGCCTCTCCCGTGTGCTTCTCTGAGCTGGTGTGGGGGTCTTAGGGCAGGGGGCACTGACCTGCTGATGTGGAGCTGGGCTTCCCGGGCACCCTGGCTGGTGTCTAACCGGCAGACAGGCTGGTATTTATGGGCCTGAAGATCCACAGAAGGGAAGTGTTTGTGTCAGGTTGGCAGAAAGCAGGGGGCGGATGGGAAGGGCTGAGGTCCATGCAGCCAAAGGTTGGAGTGCCAGGGTCAGCTCCACAGGCGCTGCCCCACCCTCCCCTCTCTGCTGCTTGTGCTGCCACGGCCCATTGAGCCCAGGCCCTGCCGGCAAGTTCCTGCCCCTGCCCTTTGCTCCTCTAACACTACCAAGAGGTGTACCTTGGCGGCCACTAGGATGACAAGTTGCCCCTCCTTCACCACCTCGGCCCCCAGAGGGCTGTGGTCACTCTTGAGTCGCCCTTACCCACAGGTGCCATGTGGAGCCCCGGTTTTACAGCTCTTTGTTGCTTTAAGCAAAATTTCAAAATGTCTGATTCGGTCACCCAGTCATTTTCCGGGACAGTATAGCTCCGATGACTCAGTTTGCTCTGTTTTAGAAACGACCCTGAGGCTCATTTTATAGATGTGAAAACTGAGGTTCAGACGGATGCCTGCAGGCACACAGAGCCGCCCTAGAGACAGGCAGGCCAGGGGCACACAGAGCCCTAGAGGCGGGCCGCAGGTGGGACTCAGGGCCCTGGAGGCGGGCTGAAGGTGGCACTCAGGGCATCCAAGCTGGCTTTACCCCCTCCAGCTGCCTCTCAAGAGCAAAGAGGGGAAGGATGAAGGTGAGGTCCCCTGCACTCAGCCCCAGGGACAGGCAGGGGTCCTACCATGCTCAGCTGTCTGCTGGGAGAGGCTGAGGCCAGTCCAGAGGTCACTGGGGCGTGAGGCAAGCTGCTTCGCCAGGGCCTGCTGTGTGCCAGGGCCTGCTGTGTGCCAGGGCCTGCTGTATGCCGATGCTGGAGCCTCCCACAGGCATCAATCCCAGGCCTTCTTCACCACCACACTGGGTCTCCCCAGGACAGTCCAGCCCTGCTGCAGATGCCAGGCCCACCAGCCTGGGGGGCTCTGGGTGGCCAGGACCCTCCAGGCTAACCCCTCTCGGAAGCTGCCCAGATCACACTCAACTCTATGTGGCCGGGGCTCTCCTGCCCCTACACCCAGGGTTCCGCAAGCTCAGAGCATGGGGATTGTGGGACAGGGAACTTGTCGTCCTGGCTCCCATCAGGGCAGCTGGGTCCTTCACGAGGTGGCAAGAGGGGCAGATGGAGTGTGAGGCTGAACACCCAGCGGCCCAGGGCTCCCTATGAGCCCCTCCAGGGGCCACCACCCCTGGCATCTGGAGCTTCAGCAAAGGGAGGGCAGAGACTGCCATTAGGGGGCCATACCATCGACCCCTGCCCCCCACCCAGCCCTGGGGGCAGCTGTCACTGGCTCCATTTTCCAGGTGTGGACTGAAGCTCCAGGGGTTGGGCGACTTGACTGAGTCCCTGGCAGGGGGCAGGAGAGGGAGTCAGCAGAGGAGCCTGTCGGCCTGGGTCTGGTCCCTCCTTGCTTGGGGTAGGGGTCTCATGGCACCCCCCATGCTGCTTTATGAGTCCCAGGCCATGGTCTTTCTTGGTAGCCCCCCACCCCGCCAAAGGCTGCGATCCTGCCAACTTGGTGTGGGGCCTCTCAGGAAGGAAGGGCCTGCTCAGCAGACCTAGCTATTTTGGGGGCTACTGGGGGCCAGGGTGCTTCCTGCCACGAGGTGCTGGTCCCCCAACTCCAGGGAGGACAGCAGGAGGGGTGCTGGAAGGTTTCACTTCCCTTGGCCGGGTTTCAGCTTCTGCATTTCAGTGTGTGTTTATGGAACAGCAGGGGGACCAAGAGCCCCTGCAGGAGCCCTCAGAAACAGCAGCCCCAGTCCCGACGGTGTGTGTGCATTTGCGTGCATGTGTGTGCACGTGTGCTGTGGGCGTGTGTGAGTGTACATGTGTGCGCATGCATGTGCATGAGAGCATTGTGTGCCTGTGTGTGCGTGTGAGCATGTGTGTGTGTGCGTTAGAGCGTGTGTGTGTCTGTGCGTGAGCATGTGTGTGTGTATGTGCATTCTGTGCACACTTGTGACCTGGCTCTGACCCTGCCTCCCTGACAGGCTGTGTGACCTGGAGAGATTCAGTGCCCTCTCTGGGCCTTGGCTCCTCCCTGTGAAATTCCTGGCCAAGGGCAGTTGTAAGGAGTGAGGAACAAAGGGCAGGCACAAGCTTGACAATGGGCAAATGCAGAGCCCAGCATGAGTGAGGGCAGAGGATGGTGGGATCATGAGCGCAATCACTGGGGCCAGTTTCCTCACTGCAGCTGGGGAAACTGAGACCCAGAGGGGGTCAGAGCTGTGGCGTTCCCCCGCGGCAGCTAGCTGCAATCAGAGCACGCCTCATTACCTGCTGCTTTTCTTTTCTGTTCTTTTCTTTCTTTTCTCTTTTTTTGAGACGGAGTCTTGCTCTGTTGTGCAGGCTGGAGTGCAGTGGTGCAATCTCAGCTCACTGCAACCTCCGCTTCCCGGGTTCAAGTGATTCTCCTGCCCCAGCCTCCTGAGTAGCTAGGATTATAGGTACCCGGGACTGCACCCAGCTAATTTTTGTATTTTTAGTAGAGACAGGGTTTCACCATCTTGGCCAGGCTGGTCTTGAACTCCTGACCTCGTGATCCCCCTGCCTTGGTCTCCCAAAGTGATGGGATCACAGGCGTGAGCCACCGCCCCCGGCCACTATGCTATGCTTATAAAACTTGCCACAGCCCTCAGCTCGGGAGACACCGCTTCCGGAGCTGTCTCGGTGTTCTTACTTGTTGCAAGAAATAAAATCTGCTAAATCCTCCTTAGCTGACACTCGCCATGCAATTGAGCCCACCCGCTGTGTGGGTAACATCTGGCGACCAGATGGGGCCGACTGGGGTTCTGGTCCTAACTCCCTGAGGCTCACTAGGGTGAAGCAGTGGGCAGTGGCACCTCCCCCAGGGGGAACTCACCCACGTGGCCCCAGAGGGTCGAGGGTGACTCCTTGGGATCTCCTTGGCACGTGGTCCGCGGGGCCGTCACTCGGCACTACCCCAAAAGCACAGAAGCAGCAGCCTGGACCTTTTGCTGGGTTGTTGGGTGCTGCTCCCTCAGGGAAGAAAGCGGACTTTGCCCGTGGGTTGACGAGACGGGTAAATTCTCTGGATCTAGCAGTGGGATCTCTAGACTTCGGCTTGGTGCAGCTCGGTTTCAGTTTCTGTTTCTGGCTCTTTGTGCTCGGAGGGGATTGAGACACACCTCCCGCCAGGCCAAGGGCAGCCGCATCTGGGTGGACAACAGCGGGACTGGTTTGGGGAATTCGTTCTTTTTTAGAGAGACAGATTTTTTCCTAGCAGGCTGAGCTGCGTCTCCCAGAGCCCCCTTGCCATACCCCAGGTCACCAGAAGCAGGAGCTCTGCCACTTGATGCAAAAAGTATTTTTTTCAGATAAATGTTTTTATTATATTATCACACATAGCGGGCAAGGCTGTGTATATACACATGCAACTATTTACAAATACGTTATCATATGTTCAACGGCTAGAAGGAAATATACAGAAAAATATGTATTAAAATATTGGGGTTTTTTTCATTATTTTGTGAGATACTCTACAAAACATTACAATGAGGTAGGACTATTTTAGTGCTAGAGAATCTGATAAAATGAATTTGTTCAGGAGCTTCTTTGTCAGCTGGGTGCAGTGGCTCACACCTGTATTCCCAACACTTTGGGAGGCCGAGGGGGACAGATCGCTTGAGCCTAGGAGCTCAAGATCACCCTGGGAAACATAGGGAGACCCTGTCTCTACCAGAAAAATCAAAAATTAGGGTGGGCACAGTGGCTCACACCTGTAATCCCAGCACTTTGGGTGGCCGAGGCAGTGGATCACCTGAGATCAGGAGTTTGAGACCAGCCCGGCCAACATAGCAAAATCAAGCAGTCCTCCCGCCTCAGCCTCCCGCAGAGCTGAACTACAAGCCTGCACCTGGCCAATTTTTGTATTTGTTTTTTAGAGACGGGGTCTTGCTGTGTTGTCCAGGCTGGCCTCAAACTCCTGAACTCAAGTGATCCCCCCACTTCAGCCTCCTAAAGTGCTGGGATTACAGGCGTGAGCCACCGCCCCTGGCCTTTCTGCTGTGTTTTTCAACACAATGTCCCTATTGCTTTCAGTGAATTCATCAAAATCTCAGGTAGTTCGAATCTGCTGGGGAAGCAGAGCCACAGTGCAGAGCAGCTGCTGTATTTCCTGCTTTGCCAAGTGAAATCCACCCCTTTCAATTTTTAGCAAGTTAATAATTTTTTTAAAAAATGATATTGGTGCTAAAGCAATTGCAGTTTTCAGCATTACTTTCAATGTCAAAAGCAGTGATTACTTTTGAACCAACCTAATATTACAGAGACAGGATTTCACCATCTTGCCTAAGCTGGTCTCAAACTCCTGCGGGAGTGATCCACTCACCTCGGCCTCCCAGCGTGCTGATGACAGGCATGAGCCACCACGCTCACCCCCTCCCCATTTTTTTTAAACTAGTTGAGTGTGGCCCAAGAGTTGTGGGATCTGTGTCACCACCAGCCCCGCCTCTAAGCTGCTGGGTGGCCAATATGGGAAGAGTAATTGCTGCAGGACTCCAGTGGCACAAGCCATGTGGGTAAACTATGAAAAGCAGAAGCGACACTGGGGATGCTGATATCTCAATTGGTTGAGGTTGCCCTTGACATATTGAACAACCCTGGCCAGGTTCAGGAGGGGCAAAAAAAAAAAAACCCAAAAAACAAAAAAACAGGGCAACACCAGACAACAGGCTACCATGGCTCTTGGCTACAACCAACCAGTATAGAAGAAACAGTTCACTGCGGCCAGGCATGGTGGCTCACGCCTGTAATCCCAGCACTTTGGGAGGCCAAGGCAGGTGGATTACCTGAGGTCAGGAGTTCGAGACCAGCCTGGCCAACATGGCCAAACTTCGTCTCTACAAAATATACAAAAAATTAGCTGGGTGTGGCGGCAGGTGCTTGTAACCCCAGCTATGTGGGAGGCTGAGGCAGGAGAATCGCTGGGATCCAGGAGGCAGAGGTTGTGAGCCAATATCACGCCACTGCACTCCAGCCTTCGTAACAACTCGGTGTTGAAAAAAAAAAAAAAAAAGGAAAGAAACAGTTCTCTGGAGAAGATGACCAGCATAAGTAAGATCCCCAGGGCTCCCACTGCCCAGCCAAAGGGCCCTTCGCCCTTGAGACCACAACACTGTGCATATTGTAAACAAGAGGGTCATTGGG